TCCAGGGAAAACGAGGCACGTGAGCTACCCTACACGAGCACTTAAAAATTTCAATGTTCATAAAGCGCATGTAAATAAAATTTAATACATTTGAATCTTCAGTTTTTTTGTCTTATCCTCCTTTCCTCTTCTCTTTATCCTTTTCATTTCTTATTCTACTTTTCTTTTTAAATATATCTTCTCTCTTTAAGACCTTCCTTTCTTTTTCTTTATGATGTATCTCTCTTTCTCTCTCTCTCTCTGTCTCTCTCTCTCTCTCCATGCCCCCCCCCCCCCTTCTGAACTTTTTTATCCCTGGGGTTGGTTATCCATGGAAAATGAAGCACATGAGCTACCCTACACGAGCACTTAAAAATTTTAATGTTCATAAAGCGCTTGTAAATAAAATCTAATACATTTGAACTTGAGATTTTTCCTTCTCTTTCTCCTCCTCTTCTATTTTCTTTTCTTTTTGATTTTGTTTCCTTTTTCTTTTTCATTTCTTATTGTTTCTTTTTATTGTTGTTTTTGTATATCGCTTTCTCCATTTCTCCGCCTTTCTTAAGCGAAATAAGCAATAGTTTGACGGTGTCTCAAGCGAAATAAGCAATAGTTTGTGGATGTCTCAAGCGAAACAAGGGATTTGTCGAGGATGTCTCCAGCGAGATAAGCCATTGTTGAGGATATTTCTATGAAGACTAAACGCCAAGGATGTCTCAAAACGTGCTCGGCTTGGTCTCCTCTTGATCATCTCTTACTTCGAGATTATGCTGAGGTCAGTTGGGCTACTTTGATTATCTCCCCCTGAACCCCGAACTTTATTATCCCCTAGTGTTTATTCTCACGGGTTAGCGGTTATGATGTTGATGCTGCTCATGATGATGATGCTGCTGTTGATGATGATGATGATGAGGATGATGTTGATGATGATGATGGTGATTATGACGATGCTGCTGATGATGATGATGATGATGATGATGGTGATGCTGCTGATGATGATGATGATGATGATGATGATGATGCTGATGATGATGATGATGATGATGATGATGATGATGATGATGTTGGTGATGCTGATGATGATGATGATGCTGATGATGATGATGATGATGATGATGATGATGATGATGAGGATGATGATGATAAGGAGGAGGATGAGGAGGAGGAGGAGGAGGAGGAGGCAGGCAGGATGAGGAAGAGGAGGAGGAGGAGGAGGAGGAGGAGGAGGAGGAGGAGGAGGAGGAGGAGGAGGCCGAGGAGGAGGAGGAGGAGGAGGAGGAGGAGGAGCAGGAGGAGGAGGAGGAGGAGGAGGAGGAGCAGGAGGAGGAGGAGGAGAGAGACCCGAGAGGAGGAGGAGGAGGAGGAGGGGAGGAGGAGAAGAGGAGGAGGATGAGGAGGAGGAGGATGATGATGAGGAGGAGGAGGAGGAGGAGGAGGATGAGGAGGAGGAGGAACAAGAGGAGGCGGAAGAGGAGGAGGATGAGGAGGGGGAGGAGGAGGAGGCGGAGGAGGAGGTGGGGGGGAACGGGCTGAATGGGCTGAATGCAAAGCGACAGGGGAGTCGCGCGGGAGAACCCCTGGGGCCGCAGGAGGAACACGAGCCTCCGCAACCCCAGGGCCGAGCTGCCACTGGGCGCAGGAGGAACCCGAGCCTCCGCGCCCAGGGAAGCCAGAGCCGCAGGAGGAACACGAGCCTCCGCAGCACAGGGGGCGCAGGAGGAACACGAGCCTCCGCACCCCAGGGCAGGCAAGCCGCAGGAGGAACACGAGCCTCCGCGGCACGGGGGCGCAGGAGGAACACGAGCCTCCGCACCCCAAGGCCACTCAAAACTTGGCTGACTTCACGAGCCAGCCTCACGGAAGTCGATCGCCTCGAAGCCCGCTTCGTAGGCCTCCCCACAGGCGGCCAGATGCGCGGCACGGGCCGCCTCCAGCTGGGCCTCCAGCTCCACCACGACGCGCGCGGCGCCCACGATCTTCTGCTTGGCAGCGCTGAGGGTCAGCGGCCGCAGCTTCTCCCCCTGACTGCCCTCGGAACCAATCCGAGTCACCGGGTCCGAATCCGTCGCGACCTTCAGCATGTCGCCGACCACGGCCGCGTGCTTCACAGAGTCGTCCTTGGTCTCCCCCATGTTGAGCCGAGAGTTCTCCAGGGCCAGCTCCTGAATGGCCGAGCCCGACACCTTCACATCGTCGGTGTCCTTGCCGACAGGAGCGCACTTGAAGTCCTTCAGCTTCAGCTCCTCCATCGGCTTCTCAACTGGCTTCAACGAGACCTCCTCGGACAACTCATTCTTGGCCTCCATGACGTCATCGAGGGAGGGTGCCGATGCCGCATCGCCAGCGGCGCGCCCTCGGCGGCGCCCTCGGCGCTTGGCCTCCTGGGCCGTGGCCGGCGCCGCGTGGGGCCCAGCGCCGAACTCCGCGTGCTGGGCCCAGCTGCGGAAGGCGCGGCTGGCGCCAGAAGGCCGAGCCTCCACGCCTTGGCGGCCAGCCTTCACCATCTCGGTCAGGTGGGGCCTCCCGAGCCGCTCGCGAACCGCGACTTCCTCCTCCACCTCGGAGTCGACACGGTGGGCGAACAGCTCCGCGCCCGTGCGGAGCGCGGAAGCGACCGCGGCGGCGACATGCTGCCGTCCGCCGCCACCTTCGGCCGCCCCCGCCGCTGCCGCCTTCACCAGCGGGGCGAGCAGCGCCACCGCCTCCCCATCCAGAGGCAAGACCGTCGCCATTGCCCGAGCCGCGGCGGGAAGCGCACGCCCGAAGCAAGCTTGAGCCAAAATGGCTTGAGCCAAAATGGCTACGGAAGGAGGTGGGGGAGGAGGAGGAGGAGGAGGAGGAGGAGGAGGAGGAGGAGGAGGAGGAGGAGGACGGAGGAGGAGGAGGAGGAGGAGGAGGAGGGAGGAGGAGGCGGAGGCAGAGGCGGAGAAACAGGAGGGGCATGATGAATTGGAGGAGGAGGAGGGACACTTGGAGGATGAGGAGGGGGAGAAGGAGGAGGAGAGGAGGAGGAGAAGGAGGAGGAGGAGGAGGAAGAGGAGGAGGGAGGAGGAGGAGGGGGGGGGGAGGAGGAGGCGGAGGCGGAGGAGGAGGAGAAGACGATGCGGAGGATGAGGCGAAGGAGGAGGAGGAGGGGGAGGAGGCGGAGGAGGAGGCGGAGGAGGAGGAGGACCAGGAGGAGGAGGAGGAGAAGGAGGAGGAGGATGAGGATGAGGCGGAGGAGGAGGGGGAGGAAGAGGCGGAGGCGGAGGAGGAGGATGAGGATGAGGAGGAGGATGAGGCGAAGGAGGAGGAGGAGGAGGAGGAGGAGGAGGAGGAGGAGGGGAGGAGGCGGAGGAGGAGGCGGAGGCGGAGGAGGAGGAGGAGGAGGAGGCGGCACATGAGGATCAGGAAAGAGGAGGAGGAGGAGGAGGAGGAGGAGGAGGAGGAGGAGGAGGCGGAGGAGGAGCAGGAGGAGGAGGAGGAATAGGATGGGGAATACTATGAGGAGGAGAAGGAGGGGGAGGACGAGGAGGAGGAGGAGAAGGCGAAGGAGGAAGATGACGAAGAAGGAGGAGCGTGGATGCGGGAGGTGGGATGGTGAGGGATGATGATGACGATGCTGCGGGTGCTGATGATGGTGATGATGGTGATGATGATGGGGAGGATGAGGAGGAGGACGAGGAGGAGGAGAAGGAGGAGGAGAATGAGGAGGAGGATGACGAGGGAGGAGGGAGGTGATGAGGGATGAGGGGGGATGAGGAGGGACGGGGAGGGATGAGGAGGGATGCGGAGGGATGCTGATGCGGATGATGAGGACGCTGATGTTGCTGATCATGCTGCTGCTGCTGATGCTGAAGCTGATGATGCTGGTGATACTTTTGCGTGTGAGTACGATGAAGTCTAAGCTGATGACGATGCTGATGATGCTGATGATTATGACGCTGATGATACTGCTGGTGATGATGATGCTGATGCTGATGATGCTGATGATGCTGATGATGTTGATGATGGTGATGCTGATGATGAGGCGGAGGATGATGATGCTGATGATGAGGAGGAGGTGGAGCAGGCGGAGGTGGAGGAAACGGAGAGGGATGAGGATGAGGATGAGGAGGCGGAGGATGAGGATGCGGAGGAGGAGGAGGCGGAGGAGGAGGAGGAGGAGTTGGAGGCGGAGGCGGAGGAGGAGGCGGAGGAGGATGACGGAGGGAGGAGGAGGAGGAGGAGGAGAAGGAGGCGGAGGCGGAGGCGGAGGAGGAGGAGGAGGAGGAGGAGAAGGGGAATTAGGAGGACGAGCAATACGACTCGTATTAATCCTATTGAGTAGAAGACGAAGACTAAACAGGAAACGAAGCACACGACAACTACAACTAAAAGGAACCATACACATACTACTACGACTAATAACCATAATCTTACATCGAATTATACGCACGCATCATGATACCGCGAGGAATGATCAACCAGTAGAAGTAATACACATACTTATACTGATACGAAGACCACGAATAAGACGCATGCCAGCACTTCTATTATTCGTAGAAGTGTGAACACACAAATACAACTAATGCGACGAGTACTAATACTAATACTAACACTAAGAGTCCGGCAGTTATTCACAATAACTACTATTACTACTTTCGCTATTACGGATTGTGCTAGCAATAGGAATAAGAGGAACACTACGATTAATCCTTATACGCTGGCATTACGAATAAGAGTAATACGACACATGAGCAGGAGGAGGAGGAGGAGGAGGAGGAGGAGAAGGAGAAGGAGGAGCAGGAGGAGGAGGAGGAGAAGGCGGAGGTGGAGTCGGAGGCGGAGGTGGAGCAGGAGGAGGAGGAGGAGGAGGAGGAGGAGGAGAAAGAGGAGAAGGAGTCGGAGAAGGAGTTGCAGCAGCCGTAGGCCCATTCCCTCCTCCTTGATTCCCGCCTCTGCTTCGCTCGCCTCTCCGCCAGCTCTCCAGGTGCCGCCCACGGGCGGCGGCGCCGTCGTGCGGGTGCGCGCGCGCGTGCGCGTCTGCATCCCGCCGCGAGGCTGAGCCAGGAGAACAGGCTGCGGCTTGAGGCCTTCCAGCAGAGCTGAGCGCCCCGCCTCCAGCAGGGGGGGGGGACAGGGAGGGGCTGAGATCTCCCAGGGCGAGGGGGAGGAGGAGGAGGAACAGGAGGAGGAACGGGAAGAAAGACCAGAGGAGGAGGAGGAGGAGGAGGAGGAGGAGGAGGAGGAGGAGGAGGAGGAGGAGGAGGAGGGTCATGCATGCGTGTCGTCAGTGAGCGATTCCAGGCAAACGCACTTGGCTACACGGATCCCCCGTCGGGCGCACGGTCATAGGTCTCGCCGGTGGCGTGATGGGACGCGACCGCCTCGGGGTTACACTTGCATGTCCCTTAATTCCTCTGTAAGGGCCAAGCGGGGCAGAATGGTGAACCGTCGCTCGGGTGTATTGTTCCATACACGGGGGCCCCTCGGCAAGTTTATATCTCGACCAGGAAACTTTCAGAGCGGTCCTGCGATGCATCCTCTGGCGCGCTTCCTCCAGTTTTTCTGGCAGTGAGGGCCCTTTGAGGTCGACCTGAGCATCTTCGCGTCCAAACGGTGTGCTCGCCGGACATCGCCACAGGGCTTTGTGAGTCTCGAGGACGCGCCCGCGTCATCGCCACGGAGTTGCCCAAGCCGAGTTCTCAAACATTTGTGCAGGCGCGATGCAGCTCGTGGCCCAGACAGAGTGTGCGAGCAGGGCAGCATCGTACTGGATACCCCTTGGCGGTGTTCGCGCGACGGTCGCGCCACCTCTGTTCGCACGCCCTGCCAGGGCGAATGATTCCGACGCGTGGTCTGGCGCAGTCGGCCATGCGCAGAGGGGGGCGTCTTAAAAGCGCGGGCCTTCTGCGTAGATGTAGGGTCAGCGCCTTCTAAGAACGCATCCTTTAAGAAGCCTTCCCCCCTTCCCCTACCCCCTTGTGCGCGCCGCCATTTGGCACAGATGGCCCCCGCGTGGCCGTGAGCTCCATATATTTGGGAATCGGCTCGCGGACTTCGGACATCGTACGCATGTCTGTTGCCTGCCGCTCAAGCAAGATGATGAGGGACACAACCGATATGGTGACGACGGGGGGGGTCGAACGAGAGGGAGAAGGAGGAGAGGGAGGAAAGGGATGATCGAGGTACGCACGGGGAGGAGTGGGAGGTGGAGGGCGAGTGTTGGGAGGAGGAGGACGAGGAGGGGGAGGAGACGGAGGAGGAGGAGGCGGAGGAGGATGAGGAGGGGTGAGAGGTCCCCTCCTCGTCGTCTTCCCTCCCAGCCCCCCCCCCCGTCTCCTCGCCCTAGTAGTCCCCGCGGTCCTCCTCATCCTCCTCCTCCTCGGCCTCCTCGCCTCCCTCCTCCCTCCATCCCTTTCGCTTATGAATAACTCCTCCCTGTCGCACCCCGGGACGCGTCGGCATGGCGGGCTGGGCGTTTCGCCAGCGTCTTTCCCACCGTGTATGACCCTGAATGTTTGCAACTGTTTCACGGGTGGAGGGCGGGTCGTTTTCAAAATGTGGTTCTTGCTTCAGCGCCGCGGTCCTTCTGTCTGAACGTGTGCAAGAGCTTCGCGGACGTGGGGCGGCCTGTTTTCAATAGCGCCGCGCACGTTCGTCTTAGAGTTCCCAGGGGTTCCACGGATGGATTTTGGCTCTGGCCTGAGCGCCGCGCATATTCGTATTCGTTTCTAGCGTTTGCAAGAGCTTCACGGATGGAGGGCGGCACCTTTTCAAATGTGGTTCTCGCCTTAGCGCCGCGCACATTCGTTTAAACAGATTACAGCATATTCAAGGATTCGTATGGTTGCCGTCCCAGTCATGGCGCAATAGTATGTGGATTCGCTGTGCTGAAGTCTCCGATATGTTTTTCTGGCACGATTCGGATCGCCATGACGCAACAGTCACGTTATTTTCGCGGTTTCTGGCACGGGCCAGGATTTTCAGACGGTTGTGTTCCAACGGGGGATATGTTCATTCAAGATGAACCTTCGTAGGGACCTGAGGGGAGGGAATTGGGAAGGAGGTCCTTCTGCGACTCCGTTGAGGAGTCTTGGGGTTACATTGGTGCCACCTCCCTCCTCCTCCTCCTCCTCCTCCTCCTCCTCCTCCTCTGTTCTTCGCCCTCCCCCATCCACCTTCCGGGGATCGCAGGGCCGCGGGAAGCGCGCGGGAAAGCGCGGCGCCCTGGTCGACCAACAAAAGCCCCGCGTGCGGGGCGAGGCGGTGCGAGGCGGTGCCCCTCGGGAAAGCGCCGCGCGCGCGGCCCGCGCTGTGCGGGGCTGCCTGCCGCCTGGCCGCCGAGCTGCCGCCGAGGTCGCCGCGGCCGCCGCCGCCGCCGCCGCCGCCGTCGTTGATTGAGGCGCCGAGCTGGCGCGCCCTGCTCAAGACCTGTGCGGGACGCATGTCCAAGGACCAGCGGTGGTTCCTGGACCGTGTCTGTGCAGGGCGCGAGCCCCGATAGGGGCGAGCAAGGGTGGGCTGACCCTGGTGGTTAGCCCACCGCTTGCTTGCCCCTTTCTGGGGCTCGTGGGTTTGTCTACCCAGCGGGGGGCGCGGTGCGAGTGGGGACTGCCCGGCGGTGCGCCGTTAGTGACCCTCGCACAGCTGCTCCCCGGCCCCGCGCACGGCGCGGAGGGTTCTACTCTGCCTCTGCTGGAGGGTACAACGAGCCCCTATCTGGGGCTCGTTTCTTCCTTGCGGGCGGTGCTGCACTGAGCACCCGCCTTTTCCTTTCTGTTGAGAGGCTTGCCTCTCGGTGCTCGCGGCCAGCGCCCGAACGGACGAGCGCTCGCATCGGCGTGGAACGTGGAACGTCGTCGTTGTCGTCGTTCGTAGTTGTCGTCGTCGTCGTCGTCGTTGTCGTCGTGGTGGTGGTCGTGGTCGCCGTCGTCATCGTCTGGGGGGTGCTGCTGGCACAGGCGCGGGAACGCATCTGAGGATTCGGTCTCCCAAGAATGATGTCCAGGAGAAGCTCGAGGAGGGGGAGAAAGAGGTAGAGGAGGACCAGTGTCAACCCAAGACGCATCAACGATATTGCAAGAAGCCGTTCCTCTCAGTTCCCTCTTCATCGGCCCCTACAAGAATATATTTCCATCAGGGGAAATGCCCCGTTGGAAGTCAAGCGTCTGAGAACCCTGAATCGTGTTTGAACGCGATTCCTGGGACTATCGCGCCGCGACTCAGGGTGACTGTTGCGTCCTGACAATCTTAAACCGGTCTAGAACATTATCCCTGGGACCACGCGAAATTAACATGGCTGTGGTATCCCGGTAAGAGTTTTTTATGCCAAAAGACCACTCCTGGACAAACTTTGCATGGTATTTTGACGAATGCGTGCGGCGCTACAGCGATCGCCACATTTTGAAAAGGCACCGCCCTCCATCCTGGAAGTTGTTAAGAATTTGTCAGGCAAGTGTGCGCGGCGCTAAGGCGAGAGGCACATGTTGAAAACCAGCCGCCCTCTTTCCTTGGACCTATTTCTGCAACATGTCAAGACGAGTGTGCGCGGCGCTGAGGCGAGAACCACGTTTTGAAAACGACCCGCCCTGCATGCTTGAAGCTATTGCTAATTCCGAGCGTCAGGATCATACATGGTGAGGGCTCCCGGGCGAATCGCCAGGCCCGCCCTGCCAACACGTCGGGGGCGCGACAGGGAACAATGATTTCCCCAACAGCGCTTGCACTTAGGCTTCTCACTTGTCTTCTAAGGAGCTGGGCCCGTCTGTTGGTTTTGTGGCCGCGTTCCCGTCCGTCGCCGCCCCACTTTTCCCAATACGGGGCCCGTCTGTTGGCCCAGCAGCCCTGTTCGTGTCCGTCGCCGCCGCCCCGTTGCGCGCCCCCCTTCCCTCGTTGCCCACCTCCCTCTGTTCGCATCGCATTGCGTTGCATTGCCTGGCATTCTTTGCGTCGCATAGATTGCACCACATGGACGGCACCACCTAGCTTGCACCACATTGACTGCACCACCAAGGTTGCGCCGCATAGATTGCAAGACGTCACAGTTTGGGGTCCACGCTGGCAAACATTCCGTTCATAAGGACATCTGATGGTCGGGAAGGAGGAGGGGGGCTGCGCCGGCAGGAGCACATGTGCTTCGGTGTGGTACGCCCACGGGCTCCGTGCAGCGCGTGGGAGGCGTGGCGGGTGAGACTTTCAAGCCGTGAGAGGTCGAGGTGACCGCGCGCCGCGCGGACGTTCAACGAGGAAGAAGAGAAGTTGAGGGACCCCCCCACGGTACTCGGCAGCGCGAGGCGGCCTCCTCATGCGCCTCCTCTCTGCGCTGCGCCGTGACCTGACAGCGCCCAGGCGGCCAGGTGCGGCCAGCGGAGGCTCGTTTTTCCCCCTCCGGTTTGGGTCCAGCCTGCCCTGCTCTGAGCGGCCAAGGGCGCACCGCGCCCAGCAAGGCCCCGCAGATCAGGGGCAACGAATGGGGGGGTGGGACTGGCCCATGGCGGGAGGCAGAAGCATCGGCCGCAATCGCCCAATCATCGCCAGTCGGGGTCTGGGCCACCCCCTGCCCCCCCCCCACCCCCACGAGCCGGCGTCTTCCCTGTCGGGCTCGTGTCGCTGACGGGGATCGGCGGTGTGCCGCCGAGTGCAGGTCACTATCTTGTTGCGGGCAAGACTTGTGTCCATATCCGCTGCAGCTTGGAGTTTCGGGCTCTCTTCCCCAGAACCCCGAGGCGCACTGGATATGGATAAAAACTGGCCCCTGTAGAGGCTCGATTTTGTCCATATCCAGTGCGCCTCGGCCTTGCGGTGCCCCATCCAAGAAAATCCAAGACGCACTAGATATTGATGCAAATGTTGCCCGCACTTGTCCCTCCCCCTGAGCCATGTTACCCCTGGGTAATTCCAGGACCTCCCTGCGGCCCCTCAGCCATCGAAGATGGCCGTACGGAGGGGTCCAAAACGTACTTCCACCTGTTCAAACCAGCACGCCAAGGTGAGGACCACCATAGGCCATACCACCCACCAGTCAGCCAATTCATCATCTTGCCCCCCTGTCGGCACTCCTCAGCAGAGCGTCCAGGCGCAGCTCCGC